GTGATTTAGAAATTAAGGAGAGTGATTAATTGTGTGTATGGAAAATGATCCTGAAGATCAATAACTGCATGTTAGGAGGTCATTCATGGATTCATAAATGATAATAAACCCCCCATGACTTTGTAAAGAAGAGCGATTTTCAATTTTAAGGTGGGGGAGAAAAAACTCCCCTTGGTCGACATTCAGGTGAGCGGCAGGCGCTTGAGAGCGATCGCTCGCCTTAAAAAACAATGACTGAGATTTATAAACATTTTAAAGACTTAGAAGGCTTTCTCAACATTTTTCACGTGTATAAAATGCCAAATATGACATTTTCTTCTCAAACTACCCAATTCATCATACAAAATAAAACAGGGACCTAACTCTGTGATTAGGGACTATTAAACCGGAAATAGAGAATCAAGGCGCTTGAGAGCGATTGCTCGCCTTAAAAAACAATGACTGAGATTTATAAACATTTTAAAGACTTAGAAGGCTTTCTCAACATTTTTCACGTGTATAAAATGCCAAATATGACATTTTCTTCTCAAACTACCCAATTCATCATACAAAATAAAACAGGGACCTAACTCTGTGATTAGGGACTATTAAACCGGAAATAGAGAATCAAGGCGCTTGAGAGCGATTGCTCGCCTTAAAAAACAATGACTGAGATTTATAAACATTTTAAAGACTTAGAAGGCTTTCTCAACATTTTTCACGTGTATAAAATGCCAAATATGACATTTTCTTCTCGAACTACCCAATTCATCATACAAAATAAAACAGGGACCTTGTCAATTTCGAGTAATTATATCAGTATTCAATTTTAAAATAAATCAAGTTCGTCCTCCACGTATTGTAAATAAAATATAAAACAAATAAAGACAAGTAAACCGTAAAAACGCATGTGTCTAGTCAATCAAGTTTATTTGTTAATTTCCGTGTATCTCTGATTGAGCAAAAATAACTTGATAAAAAGTAGACGAAATTATTCTATAACAAAGAAATAACAATTAACATGAGTGGCGCTTTGGAAGACACTGCCAAGAATTGACTTCAGAAAGGGAGAGAGAGAAATGGGGTTTAACGTTTACTAGGTCATTTCGGGACTAACACATAGTTCAATTTTATTTCAATAATTCGCTTGTACGTAGGGGTCTTTAGCAGTGGGAGGAAACCGGAGGACCCGGAGAAAACCCACGATGTTGAAAATTGGCTTCTGTCATTTAACACTGAGTTTTGAATTCAAAGTCGAGCATGACTGTGTTCTATGATTTGTAAACGTCACTTGTTATCTAGGTGTTTTATGTTGAAACTGAAAAACTGCTAAATTGGATTTTATGATTAGCAGCGCTGCTATTAACCGTGAAAAATTTTCGACAGCTCTGGGTATGCCAATGTGTACAAAGCTGAACCATGGCTCCACAAAGATAGCAGTGGACTAAACAATTTGGCATTGATGGCGACTTTACTTTCGAGATTTTATTGTTTCTTTTAGTATATCAAAGGCATGCAAACAACTAATTTACCGGTAATAAAAGTTCACTGTTACTGTACAACAATTTGATATTTGACATAGCCTACAATGGTAACTATTCAGTAATTAGCGATTTGAGATCGTACCTTTTTATCTTTAATCTACATTTCAATTAATAAAAAAATAAAAATTATATGATTCAATTTCAGTATAAACTTGACCTATTTGATAGGGGTGAGTGCTGTGTATGGGGACCATCATTTACTTAAGTGTACCAGGGCCCTTTGCGCCTTTACCCGACGCTGATCAGCCTCACCCGTACCACCCCTGGTGACGTGTGAACATCAGACTGAAAAATCTTGAGCATTCTTCTGAGACCACATGACGATTTGAACTTGCAAACATTCTAGTCGGGTCCAGTTTGAGTGCCTTGACCACAACAGAAAAACATAATGAGAGAGAGAGAAATGTGGTTTAACGTCCACTCAACACAAACTAGGTCATTTCGGGACTAACACATTGTTCAATTTTATTTCAATAATTCGCTTGCGTGTAGGGGTCTTTAGCAGTGGGAGGAAACCGGAGGACCCGGAGAAACCCACGAGGTTGGAAAGGCGACCCTACTCCTTGTCACGTACATCGAAACCCCGCCAGTTGACTCAATGACAAGAAATGAAATAAAATGGGATTTAACGTCCTACTGTTCTGCTCCGAACTAGGCTAATATGAAGACAGGCATACGCCATACAGTGTGCTATAGTTTATGAGAGAAATTTTGCACAAACAGCAACACCTCGGCCAATTTATATCGAATTCCAACTGTCAAGGGTTCTTTTACGTACACACCAACATGTACAAGGGACCTTGATTTTTCATACTGTCCAAATAGCTAGATACATGTACTGTTGCCTTGCTAGGTCCTCTGTCCTGCACCACTGACAAGGTTTTCAGATCACGGTGAGGTACCGGTACACAAATCAACAACTTTAAGTTTTATGTCAGTTTATAAAGCAGAAGAGAAGTTCACAATGTCAAACACTGACTGAGATTCCAGGGAATTTGAAAAAAAAAAACTGTTTAAATAGTATAGTGATAACAGAAAAAAAGTAGTTGGTCTGCTGTAATCGTTTTTCTTTGACTGTTTCCCTTATCGTTTTAAATTTGAAAGAAGCCTGTATCACTACCGTTTGTACTTACGACTGGACCCTGGATCCATTACATTGATATGATAAAGAGAAAGAGAAATGCGGTTTAACATCCACTCGACACAAACTAGGTCATTTCGGGACTAACATATTATGGTTTAATTTTATTTCAATAATTTGCTTGCGTGATTCGATATAATGTGTTTGTTGTTCATTTTTGAAAGCTCTGTGTATATTGTGTCTTGTCTGTGGGTTTGTCTTGTGTGTTACGGTCAACCTAGGCTTTTTATTAGACATCGTAAATCCAAATTCATGTAAGAATTTAGTCAACAAATGACAATTTGTAATAAGAAAAATCGAAGGAAAGTCATAGCCCATCAGGTAATATTAATATGAAAGCTTACTGCTGATTTCCGATAAATGATTCATGAATGACAACTTTTTATCATGGTCCATAAATTAATACAATCTGGCATGGAGTTTTATTTATGTTGTTTATTTAAGCGGCGAGGATCGCAATCTCCTCTTATGTTTTACGCAGTCTTATTTAAAAAGGACTGGCTGTCATTGTAGGCAAGATTACGAATCTAATTCTCTGTAAATTACAAGCATACATCACATGTGATATGAACAATTAAATCAAAGTTACATTTTTAAAAAAACTAATAATTTTTTTCCATTTTTGATAATAGTGCCAGCACAATATTTCATTGAATCCATTCAGTATCAAATCGATTCATGTACATGTAGGCTAATTGACATTTCTATTTTGTTATGAATTATTCTACAAATATGACAATTTCTGCTACAAATCGACTCCCATTACATTGAAAATTCAGCCTACAAAAAACAGATCGCATTCCCCAATTTGTTTCACAGAGGATTACGAAAGTATTCTAATATCTCTGTAAAAGATGACCACCTTCAACATGTGACGTCTCATCACGCGATGTCAATCATTGGCTAAATGACGTGTGCATTGTTTACATAAGACTTTACTGGTTCGGGCGGAATGGAGTCTTTTACTCATTTTAATACCCATTTAAACTAAATATGAAATAATTTTACCTACAAATATGTCAAACGTCTTTATTTTTCTAATACGTAAAAAAAAAATGTTTCAGAATTTAATTTGTCGGAGGAAAAAAGTTAATATTTGTGGCTCATTAAGTCGCATCGATGTCATCCTTATCAGTGATTGTCGCAGCCTAGCGAATATTCACTGCTGATCAGTGTGCCCATTCTCACGTATTACATGAAATGAAATGAAATGGGGTTTAATTGTTCTGCTCCTAACCTGGGCTAATGAAGACGGGCATACGCCATACAGTGTGCAATGAGGGAAATTTTGCCCGGGCAGTGGCACTATCGCCTACTCTTATATCGAATTCCAACTGCCAAGGGATCTTTTACGTGCATTCCAATGTATACACGGGACCTCGGTTTTTCGAATCATCCGAATGACTAGACAGCTGTCCTTGTCAGGCCCTCCGTCCTGCATCACTGACAAGGGGAAACCCAGCCGGAAAATCTGGATGAACTTTCTCGGCCAATGCAAGGATCTTACACCCGACCTCCAGACTACGTATTACATGAAGACTTATAATCGTGTCAATACATAAATTATTGGCCCACTACAAGAACTTGTTCACCAATGGCCCACTACAAGAACCTGTTCACCAATCCCAGTACCTATGTCCAGCAAACCAGGATTAAGACTGGCATGATAGCCAGGGTTTAGTTGAAGTTCAGCTGTTAAATTCTGAAAACATTTCAAATTATTTTTCACCAATATATTGTCCTTGACATCCCTGAGAAGTAAGAAGAGTTTAAATACGAAAGGGAAGGTCTAGTGACATTTAATTTGATAATAAAGACTTAGAGGATGATATTCATGTCCAACAATGACAGCAAATGCCTAGAATTAGCTTATTCACCAAGTTTACTAGGCCTAGTAGTCCAAAGCCCTGACAATTTGAATTTCATGAATGAACTGGCCAACTGCTTGATAGCCTAATATCATTAAAATATCATATGTCCACAATAACTGTCGTGCATGTATCACAACAATGTTTTCAATATTTATGCTGCTAAAGAATTCAAAAGGTCGTTCATAAGCTAAATGGCATAACACAAACCATAATAGGGAATCTGTCTATCCTACACTTTAATGCTCACATTTTTTAGGTATTCCATGGTCTTGATGCGAATATAGGGGAAAATAACTCGAGTTTCACTCGACGTTCCTCGGTCACTCGAGTCGAGAGTCGATTGCTAGAGCTTTGGCTTCAAATTAGGTTGTAATTGGACAGTAGTTCCTGTTTTCGACCGTTAACATTTGCTGCTGTCGAAAATTTATAAACTATAGTTTACTGCAGTAACATTAAAATTCTTACCTATCCCACAACAACAATCACAGTTCACTTGTAAAATTCTACCTTGATTTCAATAAATTCCTCACGACTTTCAATATGGCGTATTTTTGAGCATGCGCGGTGAGGCTTTGCCTGATTTTTAAACAAAAACTTGTTCAAGTGACATTTGGTAGCATTCTGTATGTTTTAATATAGGCCAATATTAGTTTTAATGTATGTCTGATATTTGTGCTTATTATTTAGCTTTAGTTTTGAGCAAAGTACAGTTTAAGAAACTTTTTTCTACTCGCCCCCTGGACAAGGAAATTGCAGGCATTACGTCACCGGAAATAGATAATGCACTGGAAAATATGTGAAATTTTAATTGGTCTATAATGGGTAAACACGGTTTTTGCTACTTTTACTTTAGATTTCTGCTTGCACGCACGTGACGAATTTTGAGCCGGACTGTAAAATGTCATGCTGACGCGTTATAGAAATCTTTTTTTCTCATGATAATCACATGATTATAACTGTGTTCTAAAATTAGTATCACTCCCATCACAGATTGTTTTTACAAATCTATAAATTCCCATTCCCATTCCATATTATTGGCGTTTGTGATAAATGGTAAGACAGTGACTAGTAGTTATTGTGATTCATGTACAGATAAAAAATCCAATAAACGACTACGAGCTATATGGGGCTTATTTTAACATATATACTCTTCAAAAACAGTAGGGGATATTCAGAAACAATACAAAACTGCGGAAATGCATTGCTGTTTTTATTAGGTAACCAGTGTATCTTAATAACAGGCCAATTGCCTACACATGAACATAAACAGTTCATATGGGCGGCTTATCCAACGGCCCCATTTCACTCGCAAAGAGATATACCGTCAAAAGTGAAAATGGACGTTTTTGATTTTTGTCTTAATTATGAGTAATTGCTCCACCAATCCTCAGACATTTAGCAATTCGTCGTGGCATGCTCCTAACCGTCCAATCACGATTTAGGGCAATCTGACCAACTCCTCTTGCAGTGCCACGGACAATTTGACGTCGACGAACACGTCTCCCGATCAAATTAAACGTAACACACTAAAGCAAAGATACGCTAAACGGTAAATCTTATGCAAGAACCGATAGGAAAGCAAACATGGATAGATAAACCAGCATGCGGCAGTTTTCATCAACCCTTCCTTGAAGTGTCAAATTTGACAATGAACCCCTCCCACGTGTATGGCACTATTACGTGTCACATGTGCAGCTCAGTGGTTCTGTTGCGGTGATCTTCATCTGTGAACATACTCTCAAAGCATGTCAAATGTCCATGACTATTTATATCGGTCGAACCTGCATAGGTATTTGCATTTCAATATTTCTTAGTTGGATTTTTGTGTGATGTCGGCCATTTGGATGTGTTTTGTGTAAAGGGACAATAACACTCTTGCTGGCTTGACAGCTCCAGAAAATAAAAAAAAGATGTGTTAGTGTCCTACCTGTTGTGTAAATTATCCAAATCCTATTTTACTTGTCCAGAGGGTTCAAAAATATTTTTAAATCCAAGTCACATTTGAAAACCTTTATGTCAGGCTTTTCAAATCATTTAGTTGAATTTTTCCAATTTTTTAAATTAGGTGTGTTAAGATGAAATTTGTATCATCAATTAATTTGAATATTGTAAAATAGTACAATTTGTTGACCAGAATAAAGATTGGGACATATTATTCTGTTACAACAAGAGTGGTATTGAGCCTTTAACTTATTGAAAAGTTGATCAGGACAGGTTATGCTTATTCTTCCCTAACATCTGATACCACTTCTCATTTGATTGCAAAGTTTGTGGGGGGTTGGATGGCTGAATGGTTAGCATGTGCGCGCTGTATCATAAGGCCTGTCATTGTGTCAAGTGGCGTGGTTTCAAATCCCCGGTTGTACGTGACAAGGAGTAGGGTCTCCTGTCCAACCTCGTTGGTTTTCTCCGGGTCCTCCGGTTTCCTCCCACTGCTAAAGACCCCTACGCGCAAGCGAATTATTGAAATAAAATTAAACCATATATTAGTCCCGAAATGACCTAGTTTGTTTCGAGAGGACGTTAAACCCCATTTCTCTCTCTGCAAAGTTTGTAAGACTAGATCTTTCAGACGTATTTTTGCATTAAATGTAAATGTATGACAGTATAATCAGAGGTGGGCGGGGGCGTAAGATCTCCATAGAGAAGGTGTCCAGTAGGTCGACCGTATATGCCAGTCATGACTGCTTGATAAAAAATTGACAGAAATGTCTCTGGGACCAATCAGTCAATTTGCACGCTGTTAAACTAGCATATTTTTCATGAGTAGGCATTTTGTAGTCAATCATCAAAAACGCTAATCGTGGGGTTGGATGGTTGCGGGTAGTTTGATAAAGCATGACTTAGTCAAGTGGCATTGTGAAAGGTGAGAAGTATTTTGCCATGGCCTCATTGGTAAACAAGACAGGCAAAAATGATTAGCTGATACATTTATGAACTGGTGACTTGAATAGGACTTGGGCTTTTTGAAGACGGTGGGATTTGACTCGACTCGGTACTAAAGGCAGCAACTTGAAGTTTTACTTGCACCCACTAACCTCATGGGTTTTCTCTGGGTCCTTTGGTTTCCTCCAACTGCTAAAGATCCCTACACGCAAGCTAAAATTGTACCATATGTGAGTCCCAAAATGTCCTAGTTTGTATTGAGTGGAGGTTAAACCCCACCTCTCTCTCTCTCTCTCTCTCAAAAGACAGCTAAGCCAGGACAGGTCCAGGTTGAGGGGCGTGGGAGTGTAATATCAGTCAGTGCATTTATAGACAAAACTTTTTCCAACCCAAAAACAATTAAAGTATCTTACGAGTTCAGGCTCTGAGGTTTTCTTGTCAAATTAAACAAGATAGTTTGAAATGATACCCGTACAATATGTGTGTTCTTTGCTATAGCCTTGTGAAGCATCTCCACCTTCATAGTTATTAAAGACATCAGTATCTGAGGTCTAGGTGGTCTAACAAATGTGGGTGGGTGGGGGTGGATGGCCGAATGGTTAGCGCATGCACATTATATCATACGGTCTGTCATTGTGTCAGCTGGCGTGGTTTCAATTCCCCGGTTGTATGTGACAAGGAGTTGGGTCGCATGTCCAACCTCGTGGGTTTTCTCCAGGTCCTCCGGTTACCTCCCACTGTGCGCAAGCGAATTATTGAAATAAAATTAAACCATATTTTATTCCCGAAATGACCTAGCTTATCTTGAGTGGAGGTTAAATCCTATCTCTCTCATTAAACCCAATTTCACCCAATTTAAAGCTGAGGAAACTTGGTAGTGAGAGTACAAAATTTCAAGCCTATAAAAAAAAACGGTAACATTTACAGATATTTTCTCATGGACTGGCAAAATAGACCATGGTAGCCTACATGACTCATTCATAAAAACAAAACTGCAAAATCTATATATACATTTACTTTTATCGTTTTATTTTCATGGCATTTACACTTTTACAGCATTTTATGTTCATGTTTATAATATATCCCAATTAACATAATGTAATATGGACATATATATCAACAATTTGTTAATATTAATACAATATGACCATATCCATATCTATACATCAAATATTTATTAATATTAATACAATATGAATTTCTTTTGAAATACAATATATTCAGTCAAGATATTCACATTACTGCCATTTATTATAATATATTTCTATTATATACCGATAAAACAAAGGTTTACAAAGTAGACAGAGGCGAAGTAACTCGGTAACTGGACCCAATATATATCACATCATAGATTATACAAGGATATACAGGTCTTTGTTTTAGTATGATTGCAATCCTTGGTTTCAGAGTGTTTGCAATCCTTGGTTTCAGAGTGTTTGCAATCCTTGATTTCAGAGTGTTTTGCAGTCCTTTGTGTTACATATACCAAGTATAAACAGGTCTTTATTTCAATAGGATTACAGTCCTTTGTTTCAACGTGATTACAATCCTTTGTTTCAGTATGATTGTAATCCTTTGTGTTACATATCACAACAAGGCTATACAGGGCTTTGTTTTAGTGCAATTGTAATCCTTTGTTTTAATCAATCTGAATGTAATCTATCAATCTGATTAAAACACAGATCCTATTTCGTTTCGTTTTTTATAGTTCAAAATTTTGTTTTAGTTCTCTTTACTACACTAGGATCTGGAAGAGTTGTTATCATTGACGTGTTCTGGATGGTGTGAGGGGCTGGCCAATGAAACGGTCTGTTGCAGCGAGCTTTAGGCGTGTGGTGATTGGTTAATCATATGTATGATACATAGGGTCAAAAGCCGCTCATATGACCTCTGACGCCATCTATCGCTACAAATTGTCAGATCTTCATGTAGTGTAAGCCATTGAAAGTATTAAAAAAAAGAAACGAAATATAGATCTGTATTTTAATCAGATTGTTATCAAGATGATAGAATAATAAATTTAAAATACATGTTATATATAAGATGTTTATGCAAATCACCTAGGCTACTTTCAATTTTATTTTCTACTAAAAATCAATGAAAGTGTTGACTTTTATACTAATTTGATTAACAAAACGATCTAAATCGTGTTTCATTTTTTATATATCGATGGCCTCCACTCCATATAGATTTGACTGCTTTGTGTGTAAAGGTTACTTTTGGGGGGTCACATCAGTGGGTGAACTTTGTACGACATAAACTATTAATATAAGACTATTGTTACTTCTCAATATGTGTCTCCCATAATTCCATGCAAATCTGGCATAAAGCTTCATAAAACAGACCATTGGATTGGCTAATCAAACAGAGCGTGGTTTATTTATAAAAACTCTTTTAGATCTGAATGTAGTGAAGACAAATCAAACGAAACTTAACTATAAAAAAACAAAATGCAATACGATCTGTGTTTTAATCACTTGGTATAAATTTAAATATTAAAGATGCATTATGGGAGAATAGATAAAAAGCTGGCAGTTCTCACAATAATAGTTAAAAACTAGATAATGTAAGGGAATTTGCTGAAAATTTCATTCAAATTGATCCAATCTGAACCAAGAATTTAGCGAATGAATTTTCATGAATGAAAGTTAAGCAGCAAATCGAATCCTAATCCAGTAAATATTGCAGGCTAGCGATGACATCAAGAGTTGATTATGGTCTGGATAAGTTAATAAATGTGTAATTAATAGTTTATATAACATTTCAGGACTAAAGAAAGATCTGCAATAGGCAGATTTATCTCTTGCATAATGTATGTTTATTAAATTAAATAATCCTTTTAATAACCGGACAGAATAAAATAAA